TTTAGTTTATAATTAAAACAAGAACAAATATCCTCCAGTGGAGTAAGAAAATAATTTTTCAGACCCCACTGACAGATATTTTTTCATTTTAAGTATAAACTCAATTTTATTCAACTTCGTACTGTATCTTCATTTTGTATCTCACTAAAATGTATATTGGATGCAATGTATATTGGGATATGACAAAAATACTGAGGAAAATTTGCGTGTGACTATGAATTCAAGACTCACTGCTCTGATTTAAGACCTTTTTAAGGCCTTGATTTTTAAGACCCACTGAAACCCTATTATAACCCTGAAATGTCTATAATTCATACTAGATTTAGTCATTAGACAATGGCTCAGTTGAATCAAAATCCCTTGGAATTACAGTTTGCAAGACAAAGGCCAAGAGGTCCATTGATTTGCATGTAATACATGACATTATTACTTTGGTACTGCTACCTAAGAGAGAAGGCAACAAGGCCAGAAAATCGAGGCCTCTGATAAATGTGCTCAGCAGAAAGCTTTGAGAAGTCTAGAGGATCAATATGGTAGTTTGTCAAAGCCAATCTCAGAGGTAATGTGACGAAGGATCCTGCAGAAGAGAGCCAGAGTCAGCAAAGTACATTATCAGAAATCAAAACATATGAGAATGACAGGGGGAGGGGGATAGGGTGGGTCCGGAACGAAGGCCACACTTCCTCTATTGTAATTAAAAACCATTTTATCAGACCTGTCCTCCAAACAATCCCTCTTGCTTTCTATTGACAATATGCCAGGCAGGGTGTGAGCTCTAATTTGACTTTAAATAAATTAGCTGAAGGTATTTAAAATTCTGCATTAGCTTTAGGGAAGAAAACAAGTGGGAAAACAAGGAGTTGCAGAGCCTATAAACTTCAAAGAACACATCAGTTGCATCACAATAATGCCTAATAATCACGATAATGGCATAATAATCTGCAAAATTCATTTAATCAAGCAATTAAAAAAAAAAAGACTTCTCAAAGATGTGGTAATGTCAAATTTCAAAATATACTTGCTACTTATAGCAAATTGATGAGCGACACAGTAACCAATCTGATAAATAATAAAAGACATAATAAGGTCCATGCCTTTACCTTGAAAAGATTAACATTTTCTTGAACAGCCCGGTCAAAAATTTTCAGCAGTTTTTTTTAATCGGTCTTCTTTCATTTATCTAGTTGGTTATTTATATAGTTTCACGTATTTCCCAATTTTTTTGTCAAATACTATTGTTAAATAATGTTAACTAAACCATAAGTTTTTAGTTTTTTTTTATCAATCCGTAGTTATCAATCTGATATTTAGAAATGAATGAATACAAATTAAGTTACACTGAAAAGAAAACTCCAAAGTTAAAGATTAATAATTAAATTTTTTTGTGCAAAAGTGCATTTGTGCGTTCTAAGACACACCTTGCCAGAGGGCCCCCCCCCCTCTCGGACGGAGGGAGACGGTTGGACTTGAGTTTAGCGTGTATTACAGCCTAGTCTGACTCATACAACTGCCTGCTGTTGCTACTGATGGCTTTTAGATGGAAAAGCTGCCCATAACCCCTGGTCTAGGATCTGTTTTCTTCGTAATAATAGCATAACAAAATAGATTTGGCAAACAATCCAGTGTATCTGCCCTTCTGCTTTGGAAAGCGTCAAATGATTTTACAATGCATTTTCGCAATGTAGCCAATCACAGACATGTTTGTTGATTTCTAAAACGCAATGGCCAATCAGAGGTATTTCGGTTGGAATCTACGCACTCACCGCTCCAGAGACTGTTTTTTGTCCAGTGCTGCGTTCTATCATGCTCGTAACTTCTTTCTAACAAAGACATTTAAAAAAAGTTTCATCGTGTAGTCACGTTCATTGTTTTTTTACTTTGTGAGATCGTGATGAATGAGTGACAGTTTTTGAAGGGGTCATATGATGCGATTAAAATTTTTCCTTTCTCTTTGGAGTGTTCAAGCTCTTGGTGCATAAAGAAGATCTGTAAAGTTGCAAAGACTAAAGTCTCAAATCCAAAGAGATATTCTTTATAAAAGTTAAGAGTCAACCACGCCTACCTAAAACGGCTCGTTCTAACACGCCCCCACATATCTACGTCACTATATGGAAATATTATCATAATGCCGCCCAAATGTGCACGCAAAGAAAGAAGGCGTGGTTTCAGGAACAGCAGTAGTGTTGATGCAGCCATGTCAGGGAGACGCTGTGCGTTTCAGTGCGAAAGCAAAAGCAGTTTATTTGGCCTTCCGGAAGTAGATGCATTTATGAATCATTGGTTACGATTTATTTACAACAGAACAGCACATCCTAGATGTTTGAAATTTGTGCAATGCATTTTATGGACGACAGTTTTTTTAAACCTAGAAGAGTACAAGGCTGGCTGTGCACAAAGGCTATTTCTAAAAAAAAGAGTAACGCGTCGTGTGTGTGTGTGTGTGTGTGTGTGTGAGGGGAACAGGGTCACATCACAGGAGAGTGAACTGCCTGTCAGAAATCATAGCACGTCATCTGTCTTAACCACGGCTTGTGTACTGCATCATCACTGTGTCTGTCACGCGACTCTGTTGCCCTTTCGGGCTTGAACTGATGGTAAAACTAATGACATTATTAACTGTCTTGATATTTACTTTGAAAGCTGAAGCTCGCGATTATGGTAAGGGGCGTTACATTTCCGATGCGTGCTTGCGGTGTTCGGCCAATCACAATGCACTGGGTCAGCTGGCCAATCAGAGCAGACTGCGCTTGTCAAAGGAGGGGTCTTTGTTGAAAACGACGCGTTTGAGAGAGGTGGGGCATAGAGGACCTACAATAATGTACAGTATTTGAAAAATAATGTGTTTTTGGAACATTAAAGCATGTCAATATATTCTGTTACACCAAATAATGATCTTTAAAATAGCATCATATGACCCCTTTAATACATTTAAAGCGAGCAATCTTTGCATGCTGTATAGTGTATATGATAATATATTCAGAATTTAAATAAAACCGAGCCTGGTCCAAACGCAGGATTTATGTAAGGAAACGGTTATTATTTGTATTGGCTGCCACACCAAATCATGCACACCTGCTTGCTTTTCTGTTTAATTTAACAGTGTTTTTGTGAACATATATATACTTTAATAACAAATAATTGTAACACTTTACAATAAGGTTCGATTAGTTAATATTAGTTAATGTATTATTAATCTAATACATTAGAAATATAAAAGCCAGGTCGTGTGTCCTGGCGCCGGGCCTGCCATGCGCATAAGTTTTCAGAGATTCTGTGATAAATATTTGCCTGTGAAACTCAAGTCCTCCTTTTGAAATACTCATTGTCTCTGATATTAGAACTGAGCACCCTCCACCTCCTTGTATGCAAAGTAAACGGTAACAGGTCCTGAAGAGGTCTGAACCGTCTCGGTCACTCCAACTACCATCCATGAACCCAAGCCATATGCCAAGCACGGTATACCTTAAAGAAAAAGAAAAAACTAACTATTAGAAATTGTTTACTGTGCTGTCAGTAATATCAAAACATGTGTAAATCATATCAGAACTGACCTAGGTTAATGACTTTCAATGCACCAAAAAACTTATTTTCAAACTCCAGGTTCTGTGGAGGTGCTTTGGTGCAGTGGTATTTAATAAAAGGGAAAGCACCGGTCCTGAGGATGTGGTAGTTCGCTCCTTGCACCTGCCAGTTGAAGTTGGAAAGACCGAACTGGTCATTGATGACATCCCTGTAGCGCACGCAGAATGAAGTCCAGGGCGGCAGCGCGCGCTGAGTGAGGTGACATGTTAGTACTTCAGAGGCGGCAGGACGAGGCGCTTTACTCCCAAAGGTGCTGGGGAACAGGGCCACTTTTAGGAAGCCACCGTGGATTCTGCGTAGAATCTCTGTCATTGCTGAGTAAACCCTAAAGTCAGGTGGTCTAGTGTCAAAAAGATGTTTCAAAAGCAACTATTGGCGCGTCACATCATTTCGTCACGATAAAAAAATTAATCAAGCAACGTAAATCATTAATAAAGAACATCAAACCCAACCAAACTGCAGCTGTGCAACCTTTAATCAGCGGGGAAATGATGCCGAAACTTTCACTGTACAAGTCCCGCACTCGAGAGAACGGTTCGGTTGTTAGTGAAAGTTACACAACTTACCGGAGCGGCTTTCATACTCATTTGACAAATATTTACATTACTACTCCATTACGTTTACGAAAGTACGATTAATGAGTTCGTTTTCTGCAGAAATATGAGAGGCGTTCAATGCAACCTTCACCGGTACGATTAATATCTTCTCCGGGAAGAAACAACCAAGAGCTTTTTTTGTTCCCATTTGCCCTAGACTCTTCATTCTCATGCGCACATAGACTTCCATTCATAAATGGTATTACTCATAAAATACATTATAGTAATAGAACAAAATATTGGATATCTTAAATATATGGATTTATTAAATGTTTAATAATTTTGATTCTTTTATATGTTGGTCAGTCTACATTTAAATTAAACCCATGTGGAGCCAATTACATACCAACTCCACTAAATTTAGTTTGTTTATTTGTTTGTTCATCAGCTGGTCACAGCCAAATATAAATGGTTACAGTTCGAGTCAATAACTGAATTTCAGATATTGGTCTTTTAATATTGAATATTTAAAAGGTTTTTTGATATAATAAAAAACACCTGAATCTACAAAAACGTTACAATTTATTTAAGGGTTTCTTGAAATAACATACAACCGATTCAAACAATTTATTAACAAACCTATATAATTATCTAGATGTTGCTACTGTTTAGAATCAGTGTGCATTGTAATGTACAGATAAATATCTAATTAAAAACTATCAAAAAAATGAATCCAAATGGATTATTTTTGAGTGATTATAATTTATGTATGCATTATACAGTTTACGGATTAAGCAACATTCCTTTGTTGCAGTCTCTAGCTATGAAGAGCTAAATGTCACGAATGGCACAACTTAATTGTAATTATCCTGTTTGCATTGTTAATCTTTCTAGAGAGAACAATTGTACAACATTTTAGATCACTATAACAATGTGATCTGGACAATGTAACAATGGACAAATCCACCCACGCAGATTCATACATGTGTGTATCTCCTTTTAATGCTAGCCACATTACAGCTATAATTGAGGTCTATAGAAATGTTTGGTGACAGCAATTATAACTGAATGTGTAAATGCTATTGTATGATAGTCCTTAAGTATGTTGATTAATTTGGGGTTGATCTGTGAGGTTTATGAGATGATAACTGTTTGCTTTCGGGTGCAGTAATCTCCTTTTCTTCCTGAGATGTGGTTTGGTTTTCTATGGTCATGCCCAAGACCTTCTCAATGTCCTTGATAAGGTCCTTATAAAAGCAAACAATAGCAGACATTCAGTCAGTATATGTCTTACTACAGATCCTACCCTCTAGCCACTGAACAGTGAATGAGAATTCCTCTATCAAATTAAGTAACTGTGTGTTGAATGTAGTAATTCAATGAAACTCCAATTCATTCACAGTATCCAACCATGTCTACAGTGTTCTACATTTGAATGACTTCAGCTGCAGATAATGCAGCCAAAGATAAAGCCCTGACGTTAATAAATGAATACCTTGTGTATTGTATAAGATGTTATGACACACAATTGAAGATTTCTCAAAAAATGTGCTCAAGTAAGATGTGTCCTCACCTGAATTTGCCCAAAAGCTCAAATTCAGTACTCTTTGCCCCAAAAAGTCTCAGCAAAACTTTGGTATAATGCTGGTAATAATAAGCTTTAGTTATAATACTAACAATAATTTATTTAGAATAGCATATTTAGACAAGATTGCAAAAACAGTTCTATGCAAACTGGAAATTAACCCTTTTTTCCCACTGCACTTGTATGACCCAGTCTATTCATCATTTGCCAAAGGTAATATGCAACCAAATGTTGTGCCAAATTTCAATTTGACTTGAAAAATGTGAAATTATTAAATTAAACAACCTTGAACACTGTGAAAGATGAAGCTTATTATTACTAGCATTACACTAAAGTTTTGCAGAGCCTTTTGGAGCAAGTGGTGGAGTAGTGAACTTGATGCAACTTCTCTACCGAGTGACTGATTCTTACTGCTGCGTTGTGGATATATTTTTGTTAATGATTTGATGGTTATAGTTCATTCTTTGTCTTTGTAAAGTGACCCTGAGTGTTTGAAAGGAGCTAAAAACATTATAATATGTAATATGGTGAAACCATTAAGAATCATTGTGATTAATATACTACACTCTCAGACAAAAAGGTAACAAACTGTCACTGGGGTATTAATATGTATTAATATGCACATATTAAGTATTAATATGCACTTTTTAAAGTACTAATATAGCATTTAGGGGTAAATAAGGTAAATAAGGTGCTTTTATACCTTCTGGTACCGCCTCAGTGACAGCTTTGTACCTTTTTCATAGAGTGTAATTTGTAGATACACGATCTGAAAGTGAAACGTTTGAATAATATTTTTTCTATGGCTAATGTGAAGTAAAGAACATACCATTAACAGGTCTTTTAAGAGTAGGTTAAGAAAAAACAACATCCACATACCTTAAAATAGTTTGTTCCTTGCATATTTGGAGCTGATATTTCCTGATGAATGATTGACAGGTTGCGAGCAAAGGTCAGCAAAGCTCCCTGGAGATCCTCCGAGATTGTTCTGTTAACGACACGCAGAAACAAACGAGCTTACTAATGATCCCCCAGAACCATCATCAGAGAAAAACAAAAAAACAATCACCTTGTTTGGCTGTGGGGCTGTAAGGAGCTTAATGAGAACTCTCAGCCTTAAAGAGTGTGCTATTCTTCAGGGAGAAATGAGGAAGGAAAGCAGGGCTTCAATGGGATAGGTATAGGATTTATGTGATGAATGCCTTTTAATTCGACTTGGCAGTATTTTGTGCTCTGACACATTTTGGGTTGAGGTATTCACTACATAATGTTTAATCTGCTCTTGGGAGTGTGCTCAAGGTCTAGATATATCTCTAATGGTGATGGGGACAGAGGAAGGGAAAACAGAGCTGGAGAAAGATAAGGGTAATGCGTCTGCCTGCTTCTTGTGGGAACTCACAGTATACGAAGGCTCCTTCAATCTCTGCTGTCATGGAGGGCGAACACAGTGCCTTGCCTTGCCTGAAACTCATATAAAATATATTGAAAGACTTGCTCTGCAATCAAAGAACTCCAGGTGTATTATTGCAAAACAAGCAAACATTTTACCTTGACATCATAACCTATGCCCTGTGCTTTGCACATCAGGAAAAATGTGCTATAATATACCAAAGAAAGATTGGTGTGAAGAAGTCAGGTGCACATCACTGCAAAGCGATTGGTCACTGAGGTTTGCTAAGGAGAAAACAAACACACAGAGAGTTAAGCAACAAACTGCATGTGATTCTGTTGCTAAAAATTTGACCAGTACATCTAAATGATAAATTGACCTCTGGCTCCTTCAATCTCTACTGTCATGGAGGGCGAACACAGTGCCTTGCCTTGCCTGAAACTCATATAAAATATATTGAAAGACTTGCTCTGCAATCAAAGAACTCCAGGTGTATTATTGCAAAACAAGCAAACATTTTACTTTGACATCATAACCTATGCCCTGTGCTTTGCACATCAGGAAAAATGTGCTATAATATACCAAAGAAAGATTGGTGTGAAGAAGTCAGGTGCACATCACTGCAAAGCGATTGGTCACTGAGGTTTGCTAAGGAGAAAACAAACACACAGAGAGTTAAGCAACAAACTGCATGTGATTCTGTTGCTAAAAATTTGACCAGTACATTTAAATGATAAATTGACCTCTCGGGGACAGCAATATCAGCCATGCTAGAAACAAATAGAAGGGTTACAAAAGCCCACATGGTGAAACAGACATTAGTCTCATAGTCCATAAAGGGCATTGGGGAGACCGAGTCCTGCGTTATTAGGTTATACCGCTGCAGAAAACAAGAAAGGTTTCCTCTAAAACCCAACGACACTCGCAGACACAGCAGATAAAAGATGTGTCTAAAAGAACACCACAGAAGCAGATTAGTTAAGAGTGGCAGGACTCGCAGGACTCGTAGCCGGCATGAGGCATATTCTCAGTGACAGATATGAAGCGGAGGGTAAAGCCCTTGCACAGTGTGCGAGGCATGAGTAATTCTCTTCTGTGGAACTCTGTCTTCAGCTGTCAGACACACTATCCTCAAACAACAATAAAAACCTTTTCCTGCAGGGTTTTAATTGTGTTTGCTATATTCTGGGCCTAAATGATGGCCAAAGCCGGAGCCATTAAGACAGGCAGGCGGGAGCTGGCCGATATAAGCACATACAAACTAAATGAATGTTTGATAAAATAATACAAGTCGCAGATTAACAAGCGTAAACTCCGGTTTGCCACTAATAAAGGAAGTCTATTGTTTAGGGGCTGGCATCAGGTTGATGAGGTGCTCAGGCATGCATACACATGCATAATGAATATGGTATGCATTATTTATGGGCTGATTATTTAGGCTCATCAATCAAAATGATAATGAATTCAGCTTCTTCTAAACACCAATCAGGTCGGAAGCGTAATTACAGTGTTTAGTTGTATTTAACCAAAATAAAACAACAAAGCTTAGCTAGATCAATCTTTATGGATGCCTTGATTTTTCGGAATAATATTCAGCAGAGGACTCGGGATAATAATGGCATTATTGTGCTTTAAAGAGCTAAAAGAATCCCAAACAGTTTAGAGAATAAAATTTAAAGTGATGGTTGACCCAGAATTCAAAGTTCTGTCATCATTTACTCACCCTCGTGACCTGTATGACTTTTTTTCTACTGTGGAACACGAAAAAGATAATTATAGCAAGATGTCCATGCTGCTCTTTTCCATGCATTGAAAGTGAATTATGACCATGAATGGTGAAGACTTTCAGTGAATAATGACGTTAATTTCAGTCTGTGCCTCACATTATATGCCTTAAGAACACTTATATAACACACAAGTTGCATAGACTACTGCATAGACTAGTGATTTCATGATATTTTTTTGACATCTCATGGTCTCCATCTACTTTATTACATTGGTTCTATTAATACTTTTATTAAGTAAGAATGCATTAAATTGATCAAAAGTAATAGTAGACTTTTATATTGTTACAATAAAATTCTGTTTCAAGTTGTGCTTTAAAGAGCTAAAAGAATCCCAAACAGTTTAGAGAATACAATTTAAAGTGATGGTTGACCCAGAATTCAAAGTTCTGTCATCATTTACTCACCCTCGTGACCTGTATGACTTTTTTTCTACTGTGGAACACGAAAAAGATAATTATAGCAAGATGTCCATGCTGCTCTTTTCCATGCATTGAAAGTGAATTATGACCACGAATGGTGAAGACTTTCAGTGAATAATGACGTTAATTTCAGTCTGTGCCTCACATTATATGCCTTAAGAACACTTATATAACACACAAGTTGCATAGACTACTGCATAGACTAGTGATTTCATGATATTTTTTTGACATCTCATGGTCTCCATCTACTTTATTACATTGGTTCTATTAATACTTTTATTAAGTAAGAATGCATTAAATTGATCAAAAGTAATAGTAGACTTTTATATTGTTACAATAAAATTCTGTTTCAATAAATGCAGTTCTTTTGAAATCTCTATTCATCAAAGAATCCAAAAAAATGTCAGTTTCCACAAAAATGTTAAGCAGCTCAACTGTTAATAACACTGATAATCAGCATATCAGAATGATTTCTGAAGGATCATGTGACATCCTTCACAGAAATAAATTAGATATATTATATTATATATTATAATAGAAAACTGTCATTTTAAATTGTAATATTTCAAAATATTATTGTTTTACTGTATTTTTGATCAAATAAATGCAGCCTTGGTGAACATAAGAATCTTCTTACCTATCCCAAACCTAGGTAGGTTTAGAATGTCATGAGGGTGAGAAAATGACAGAATTTAAATTTTTTTGATTTAACTATCTCTTTAAGGCTGTTACTGAACTATTCTAAAATAAAGTCTTGAATATGTTTGAATACCATATTTCAATATATATAATAACCACGTCTTCCTAATGCTGAAAGTGAGAGTGGATATTTTAATTGAATTTACGGATTCTTACAGCTTTGGTCTTTATTCTAGCATTGCGTACGGAAGACTTCACGTCCAGCGTCCCCCTCGTCATCATGAGCATCAGCTGGGTCATGGCCAACTGGTTACTGTAGCCCAGGTCAAGATCAATAGCCCATACCTAAATACAAACCAGTGCACACAGATATGTCAGCAGATACAGCACATAAATCAAAATAACTATTCACTTATTTTCAGCCAACAAGTAGATAATGACAGAAGTTTTTAAAACAAACAGACAGATGGATATTTCAAAACTGTATTTGCAGAAAAAAACAAAGCTCAACAGACATTGTGTGTGTGTATGAGAGAGAGAGAGAGAGAGAGAGAGAGAGAG